CCACTGCACTCCAGCCTGTGCGACAGAGCAAAACTCCGTCTCAAAAAAACCAAAAAGTTCTATGTGTGTTATCACAACTAAGTGACAACACATCTTTCTGTGGACAAAGAATAAGGGTGGAAGATCAGTCTGCAAGAATCCGTGAGTGCTGGAGGGAAGGCTAGGCACGGGCTCTACTGCACTTGCTGCTGAGATTCTCATTACAATATAGTAAGTAAACATAAGGAAGGAGAAAGCCCCAGTTCTATTGTGGAGGTTCTGGAAAAGGCTGGAAACTGCAGCCGGTGGGGGATGACCCAGAGCCCAAGCGGAGTCTCAGGGGGAACCGCAGCAGCCCTGCTCCTGCGGAGTACCTTGAATGATCTCAGTGCCCTGACTCCTCCTCCCACCCCCATCCCCTTGAAACCTTCAAAAGGTTAAGCTCTCTGAAGCTCAGTGAATATTGGCCTGGGTCGGTGAATATTTCCTGGGCCTCCTTGATGAATTGAGGATTAAAGCCAATGTCTAGTCAAACTCAAAGGGCCATTAGAATAGGCCATTGTGGGGACCGGAGGCCCATGCGCTCGTGGCGTGCAGTTTGGGGCATCCCTTGGTCCCAACCACACTCACCGGGATACATTCAGCAGGGCTGTCTGTCAGTGGAGACAGCCCATGGCTGGAGAAGTGATTGGTTTGATTCTGCGTTCAGTTTTCTTTTCAGAAGGGGAGGTGTGGTTTGAGGGTGCCCTGGGCTCCGGTCCCAGAGCTGGGGTCGAGCCCTGTTTCTGTCAGTTGCTGAGTGTGACTGGGGGCCTCAGATACCCGCAACACTCTTTGGCAAAATGCAGATGCTAGACAGGGGTTTGAGGGCTCCAGGGTGATGGTGACTGTGCTGCTCGTGAAGATCCAAGGGCCCTGAGGGATGAGGGACTGTGTGGCAGGGCTCTGAGTCACCCTTCACCTGGCTTACACAGAGAGGGGAGAGGGTCCCTTTATCTGTCTGCCATACTGGACTCCCTCAGAAGATTTCAGTTGAGAAATAAAACGAGAAGAAAAAAAAATCCCTCACAGTCTTCATTACTACTTTTAAAAAATGGTTAGAAAACACCTGACTGGAAAATGTGATCAGGCTGTGACCGGTCCACACCTGCGGGACTCGGATCACACAGGCTTTGCCCAGCACCTGCAGGGGGTCCCGGTGGCTTCATCCAGCATTGACTCCAGGCCCGCAGTGGCCACCGATGGCCTCCAGGTCTAGTCCCTTTGGCCTCTTCCCCAGTCTGTTCTGCAGCGGGCCCCCTGGGCCATCCACCCGGACTTCCTGCTCTGCAGGTCCCTGCTCTCTGCCCAGCCTACCACCTCCAGCACATCTCTGCCCTTCAAAGCCCTCCCCATTCTGCAAGGCCTCACTGTAATGCCCACTTCCCCACAAGCCTCTACTGAAGCCTCAACCCCCAGATCCTCCAAAGCGTTGGCTTCCGTGTTTCCTGCAGGTTCTACCATTTCCATCCTCAGAGGCTCTTGGCAGGGGTGCTCCAGAGGGTTTCTGGGAATAAGGTGCAGAAGGAGAAGTGCATGAGGCTTGGGTTCACATCTCAGCCCTGCCAACAGTAACCCTGGTGTAAAACCCTGTGTATATGATTTTATACAACCAGTGACCCATATCTATGTATACATATACATATGAAAATATATAAAATATATAAAAATACATGTAAATATACATTATATATACAAATATATATATATTTGCATATATATGTATGTATAAGTTTATATATTAAATTATAAAAATAAATTTTATAAAAATATAAATATATATTTATATTCTGTTTTGATAAAAAGTTAAGTAGAATATATGTACAAAGTTTGGATTGTATGTTTTTCAAAGTAATACAAGTACCTGATTTCAAATTCAAGTCGTAGTAAGCGGTTCATAATTAAAAGCATCTCCGCCTACATCATCTCTCTCCACACACTAGAATTTCCCACTGCAGACGTTTAGGTTGCATACATGTTTACTGTGAAAAATCACAAAATGCAGACAAGCAGAAAGAAAGCCGAGCCAGCACAGTGAGATCCCACTTCTCCTTTGAGAATATCTTTTTCTAGATGATGTTGCCAGGCTTTTTTTTTTTTTTTTTTTTTCCAAATCGGTCCTCATTGTATGTTTTCTATGCATTCTAGCTCTAATCACAGTCTACCTCCAACTAAATGAACAGAACTGATATTTGTGAAGAGGTGCAGTGAGTAGCTAGCTCCTTGCCATTCAAAGCGTGGCATAAGCACCACGTGGAAGCTTGCTAGAAATTCGGTGTCTTTGGCCCCAGCCCAGGGTTCAAATTTGAACAAGCTGGTTATTGGAGAGCGCATTACAGCTGGGAAGGGCTGTGCAGAGCAGAGTTACTCAAAGTTGCAAGCCACAGACTGTCACAGCCCTGGACGAGAGGCCTGAGCTAGAATGTATACAGCACGCTGCTTCGTTTATAGAGGAAGACGTGCTATTATACTAAATACTGTCAACAAAACTAAATAATGTGATTGATGAGGGCCATGATTAACATTCTGGCCCATGCTCCTTATCTTGTCAGGGACCAGGGACACACAGTTCGTGGGCTTGGCACTGTCAGCCAGCCACACTTTGAGTGGTGCTGTTTAGATCACACGGTTCAAAAATAGGGGGCTGGGACTGGATTTCTCCAGCTTTTGATCCTAATCTTCTCATTCTATGTGTATCTGACCCTCCCACCCGACCGTCTCACACACACAGACACAGATGCACATATTCGCACAGGCACAGCCCTCCCTAGGAGAGCCCTGGCCCAGAGTTAGTGATTAGAAAACATCTGTCTCTTGAGTCAGACCGAGGCTCCCACATCCCCGTGTGCTGGTCCACCCCAGGCCTCTGTTTACATTAAAAGTGACCCTGGTGTAAAACCCTTTTTATCAGCTCCTCCTGTCAGGATGAAACAGAGCAGGGGCCTTGTAGGATGTCTGGAGTCAAGAGAAGCCAAGCCCAAGAGCTTTGATGGACTAGGAGGGAGACAAAACACAACTTCTTTGCCCAGCTCAAGTTCTCAAGGCAAAAACAGCTCTCGGATCCCAGGACCTGTATGTAACCTGGGATCTATAAACCCTAGACCAGGCTTCTGCTGCCCGTGCCAGAAGCAGGTCAAAATAATGCATGGTCACCAGGAAGGTGTGGATTTCAGAGTCAACACCAGCCTAATTCAAAATGCCACGTCGCGTTCAGTCCAGCCTTACTGTCACGTTTCCCAAGGAGCCCAGGGAGTCCTATAGGTTTAGATCCCAGGGTTCACTTTTACTTGGACATTGGGGAGACTCAGACCCTCTCAGGCAGTTAAAACTTTTAAGTAAGTTTTTTGTTTTTTGTTTTTTTTTTTTTTTTTTGAGACCAGAAGTCTCACTCTATCGTCAGGCTGGAGAGCAGTGGCGCAATCTCGGCTCACTGCAACCTCCAACTCCCTGGTTCAAGTGAATCTCCTGCCTCAGCCTCTCGAGCAGCTGAGATTACAGGCACGAGCCACCATGCCCAGCTAATTTTTGTATTTTTAGCAGAGACAGGGTTTCACCATGTTGGACAGGATGGTCTCGATCTCTTGACCTCGTGATCTGTCTGCCTCAGCCTCCCAAAGTGCTGGGATTACAGGTGTGAGCCACCACCACCCCCAGCCATCAGTTTCTTTCTTTTTTGTTTTTCTTTTTTTTTTTTTGGCAAGTACTTTATTATTCCCTAGCTAATCAGTTTCTTATTCTGTAAGATGGGGCATAATAATATTGACCTCATAAAGGTGTTGTGAGAATTAGTGGCAATCTCGGTAAAGTACTTAATATCAGTGCATTCATTCATTCAGTCGCTCATTCATCTCACGCTCCAGACAGCATGGGAAGCACACAGTCCAGAGAGGAGGATAGAGACCACACAGACAGACACAGAGCAAGCTGCAGCAGGGGCTGCAAAGAGAAGGGTAGGAAGCCTGTATCAGGGGCCCAGTCTAATCTGGGGATCAGGAATGACGGTGTTACTGAATGAGTGATTCTGGGCTCAGGTTCCAAACATCAGTAGACGCTTGTAAGACTAAGCCAGGGAAGAGCATTCCAGGAGTGTCATAGGGATGACTATTTATATTTTCCAGAATGCAATTTGGGCCAGAGAAAAGACAGTTGGATTTATTTTACTTTTTGAGATAAAATTTACAGACAGCAAAACGCATGAGCCTTGTGATACAATTTGAGTTTTGACAAATGCATACAACCAACATCGCTATTGTGCGATGGAACTTTGCTGTCAAACTGGGTTTATCTTCATATCTTCATAACCTTGTTCCCTGATTATAAAAGTTAAGAAGCTGGGTTTTTGTGTGTTTTTTGAGCTGGGGTCTTGCTCTGTCACTGAGACTGGAGTGCAGTGGCACGATCTCAGCTCACAGCAACCTCCACCTCCCAGGTTCAAGTGATTCTCTTGCCTCAGCCTCCTGAGTAGCTGGAATTACAGCATGTGTCACCACGCCCGGCTAATTTTTGTACTTTTAGTAGAGACGGGGTTTCTCCACGTTGGCCAGTCTGGTCTCAAACTCCACCTCGGCCTCCCAAAGTGCTGGGATTACAGGTGTGAGCCACCTCGCTCAGCCAAGAGCTGGGTTTTAATGGGGGCATTTCACTGTGGACATTTTACAAGGCTTTGAGCTAGGTTTAAATCTCATATAACTTTCCCCAGGTCTCTCGATGTCGCTGAGACTCAACTTCCTCATCTGTAAAATAGGGTTAATCGAACTTACTTCACAGGGCTGTGTGAGGAACTGGGTCTGTACATGGCTGTAAAATGCCCAGTTAGTGCCTGGTGGGCACTCTGTGAGTTAGCCCTGTTAGGAGTTTCTGGAATGGAGATGACGGTGGGGAACGGGGCCATTTCTCGCTGATATCCTTGGGGCCGGAGATGGGCCTTCCCAGGGCAGCATGGGGCAGTGTGTGCACCCCTCAGCCAGTCTGTTTGTTCACAGGCATGTGTCTGCAGGCCTTCGTAGAAGCCTTCTTTTTCCTGGCTCAGAGGAAGTTCAAGATGCTGCCACTTCATGAGCAGGTGGCCTCGCTGATCGACCTGTGCGAGTACCACCTGTCCCTGCTGGATGAAAAGCGCCTGGGGTGTGCCCGGGGCATCCCCTCCGGGGGCCGACCCGCCCACCGTGGCACTCCCCAGGAGTCCTCCCCCTCGGCCCAGCCGGCTGGGGACAACTGCGCCAATAAGCTGTCCCATCCCAGACATACCCTGTCCTGAGGGCCACTCTGTCTTCCCAGAAGATGGAAGATGAGGGCGACTTTCAGGGCTGCAGAGCCCCAGGCATTCTGCCTGCAGAGGAATGGCAGGCAAGCTGCCCCGCCCCCGCGAACCGTCTCTGCGTGTGGCTGAGCTGCGCTTCACCAGGTTGGCTGGTTCTCACCTGCCTTCCTCTCCGCACCTCTTGGTGATACACCCTGTTTTTGAGTCATCAGTGGACATATGACATCTAAAATGTGACAGATGGCACTTTCTATTCTGGGCTCACAGGAAGCACCAACTGGGGCAAATCTGTTGTGTTTGGGGCCCGGGACACAAATGATCCCAAGGCCCGGAGCCATGGAGAGGAAGCCGGGTGCTGGGATCTGCCGAGGCCTCCGCACGCCCACTGGGAAAAGCCCGAGAACATCGTGTTTATTTCCTGCTGCCCGCTCCGTGAGAAGGAAGTGGAAATATCAAGTAGGCGTCTGCGAATCTCCCATCCCAATCATGTGCTACACGGGTGTAGTGAACAGATTAGCCTCATTTAGTTCATTAGCTTGCCTGTTGCTGCAATGTTTGGTTTGCTATTAATTAAGAAGTAATTAATCAAGAAGTAACTAAGACTCCTAGAGCCTCAGAGCTGGCAGGAGCCTCGGAGGTCATTTTGTTTGACTGTGACCCCAGAGCAGGAATCCTATCTTTAGCCTCCCTGATCAGATGGTCAGAGTGGACCCCTGCATAGGTGGGGTGCTGGTCACATGGCCAGTGTGTCCACAAGAAGCACTGCCAGGCGTCCCTGCATGCCCAGCACTGTGTTGGGAGCCCTGAGTAAGGGGAGGAAATCAGACGTGGATGAGAACCAGAGCGAGAGGAGTAGTGCCTGTCAGGCGTGGTGCCAGGGACAGGGGAGCTCGAGCTCTCTCTCCCATGAGCCCCTTTCCTTGTCTCCATCTGTATCCCCAGGTAGCCCCCCTCTCAGAGGAAACACCTCGGAGGCAGCGGAAGGTGTCATTTTGGAAACAGCCTCGGTCACGCCAGGGTGCAGGGCCCATTGAAGATAGGCAGACAGGACCTGGCAAAGCCAAGCTCTCCAGAGTGTGGTTGGATTTGAGGTTAACATGGCCCTTTCCTGGAGGGTCTCTTTAAAGGGTGCTGAGGGCCCTGGGAAGAGCCAATCATCAGGCTCCAAGCCAGGTGGAGGAAAGTCTTTGAGGCACTAGCACTGTGCCTGGTGCACAGAAGGACTCAGAAAATGCTCATATTCCCGGCCAGGGAGAGGGGCGTGGGAGGCAGAGGCGCATCCCAGACAAGCCCCTGTAGCTTTCTCCTTCCTGCCAACATCCTGTCCTGCCTCCTGACCCAAGTCCCCTTCCCTCAAACTGAGAAGAACAGTTGACTCACGGCCTAGCCCACAGCCTGGTTCATAACAGGGACTCAAAAGCATCTGTGGAAACAAGTTACTTGAATCCACCCTCCCCAGAGTATTTTGAAACCCAAAGAGAAGGTTTTTAATCCAAGGTGTCTCCTGTTGTTGGCAAGTGATTTGAGAGCAGGGGCTGCTGTGTTCCTCCTTGCCCAGGGCTCCTTGCTGCCAGGAGCTTACCCTCCCAAGGAGGAAACCCTGTGTCCCCCGATGTGGCTGCCATGCAGCGCCCCTTCCCTGCCACTAACAGAGCCCAAAGGCTGCCACCCTTCCCCAGCCGAGAGGGGCTGTGGGCCCGAGCCCGGCAGAACCCCCTCTGGGCTGTTCAGTGTCAGCAGACTTATGCAATGACTTTATTTTCCCAAGCAGAAGGCGGGATAGGTGGGAAGATGGCATGGGCAGGATATGCCTGCTGAGGTGTGTCGAGTGCCCCCTGCAGGGGGCCCGGTGGTGGTGTCATTGGCTCAGTTTCCCAGGTCCTAGGGCAGGTCCGTATCGCTGCTCCCCTTTCAGATGAGGAAAAGAAGGCCCAGGAGGCCACGTGGTCAGGACTCGGTCCAGGTCTGTCTGTCAGCTCCTTGTCCCTGGGTGAGCATGAATTCAGCTCCATGTAGAGACCCCACAGGACTACCCTGCTCGGGGCTGCCTAGGGCCTGTCATGGTCTGGTGGCATGGGACAAGGTAGTCAGGACTCCGAAATGGTCCAGTGTGAGAAACGATGTTGGAAGCCCCCGTGCGGTTCTCCCAATGCCCTTCGGCAGAACAAATGTGTTTCCCAGAGAAAGGCCGGAGGAAATGCGTCGGGGCACACTTGTCATCAGCTGGGAGCCACCAAGAGTCTTAACAAAGCTGTCACTTTCTCGAGGTTGGTCTTTAGAAAGTATTCATTTGCCAAAATGGAGTGCAATGTTCAGGTCCAAAACCAGTCAAGCACATACTGAATATTTTGAAAAATAAAATAAAGAGTTTGAATTCCAGCCACCTTGTCTGGGGTGATATCAAATCGTCAGCTCTCCTGGTGAGGAAGGGCCTCTCCCGCCCCCTGCCATTATCTGGAGGCAGGCTACTCCGCCCACCATGGCCCCTGTATCCTGGGAGCAGCCCCCTCTTCTGCCAACAAGGCCCCGAATAAGCCCCACCCACCCGCAGGGCACGGAGCCTCCCTGGTGATTTTCTGAGAGGCCAGTTGTGACAGATTGGCCCCTTTTCAGTTTAACCGAAAACATTTCGAGGCTGCTCCATTATCAGAATGAGTGATAGCTGACTCAGCCCGCCCCCTCTGTTCCTAAGAAGAAGTCCCACTGTGTTTACACCTTTGGTAATCGGCCACTCATTTTATTGGTGTAATTGAAGGGATAGCAAAAGCAGACGATTGCTTCCTCCGAGAGGACAGGAAGCAGATCCCAGAGTCGGGCGGGCCCAGAGGCCCTGGCACATAGCTGGGCAGCCCCTGTGCTTTGCTGCGGGATAAGCCCTGTCCCTGGAAGGGCCCTCAGGACCCATCTCCAGCGTCTTCTCTCTCCCCATCTCCTGTCCCCTCCCCCTCCTGCTGACACGTGTCTTGCCCCACCCCCAGGGCACACACAGCCCAGCCTGTGGATGCTCTCCCTAGTCTGCTGACTGAGTTCCTGGAGAGCTGGGTGCTCCAGGGCTTGGAACGAACGGGTAAGATCAGGCCCAGCCAGTGCTTAGTTTGAGTTCACATCCAAGTATGACAAGCTGGTGGGACCAACCTGGGGAGGGAAGCATCAGAACAGGACAGACCCACAGAACTGGGCCCACCCACCCTGTCCTGCTGTGCCAGTCTTGCCCCTTTGGGTGTGACCCTGGGCAGCTTCCTTGCTCCTGCCGTGCTGACCCTGCCTGCCCCTTCCTTCCAACCTCCCAGGGGGACAGCCTCAGCGTTTCTGCTGCTAGGGGCAGGAGCTGTGTCCTCACGGCCTGGCCAGAATGGAGCCTGCAGTAGGTGCTTATAAAGACCCACTGGATTCCGTGCCACCGTTGGCAAGTGCTGGTCTCAACAGACCCCTCCCCGCATGCAGAGGCAGGGCTTCCAGGAGAGACGAGCGTCCATCCCTGAAGCGAACTGCCTGGATTCCTCTTCCTTCTCCTCCCAGCCTCTGTCCACTCTCCCAAACTCAGACACGATCTCTCGCCTGGGCTTCCGCTGCCTCCCTGCCTCTCACCCCTCCACCATACCCTCCATCCCCACCAGCGTGGAAGGAACTCGGAGAGCCACAGAGCTGACGTGTGTCGCCTATTGAAAGCAGCCCGCATGGGCGCCCTTCCTTTCTTTCCATTGTAAGGCCCACGCCTGGCCCCCACACCCCAGGGCCAGGCTCTGCGGCCTCCCTGAGCCCCTGTCTTACCCCTGCTTCCAGGACTGTTTGTATCTGTTGTCACCAGACAGGAAGAGGTGTGCTATTTCCCGCCACCCTTGTCTTCTGGCCTTCCTCTGCCCAGTGGCAAACAGACTTCCAAGGCCCGGTTCGTTCCAATGTCCTCGCTGCAATCCCCCAGAGTGAGCGGTTCCCTCCCCACACTCCCAAGAACTAGAAAGTTCCTCTATTGTCATGTGTGCCATGGGATCCCAGCATTGGCTCCCACCCACTTGTGCATTCCTGCAGGGTCAGGCATGTGCTGGGGCCATGTTGGCACGGAGCGGGTGCTTGCTGCGAATAGGAACGTTTAGCAGACCCCAGGAGAGGAGACAGTGTTACCGCGCTTGTTCTCCGCCTCGCCTGCAGGTTCCTTTAAGCAGCACAGATTTCTAAACCTTGCCAAGCCAATCTGCTGAACACCTCTACATCCCCGCCGGACTTGTTGGCTCCCTGGGATGCGGCAGCTGTCCTGTGTCCGTAGACAGACAATGGCTCCTCCGACCCTAGGTGTCTCTTCACGGTCCTTTGTGGCCAGGCTCTGCGTACCCATGGGCACCCCCTCTCATTCAGCCTCAGAGACAGGATGCCAGGCTGGACGGTCCTCACCAACACCCCTCCAGCTGGCCTCCCTTCAACTCTGCATTGCCCTGAGTTTGCGTGGAGTTGGTAAGTTCCCAACAGGTCCTCCTGATGTGCATGTGGGTAGCCAGGGGAAGGAAGTGGGAGGGTAAGGGCACAGACACTTGGAATGGCGTCCCTAGCCTACATGATTTTATCCACACATGCTCAGTCCTTACTTTTAGATCCATCCAACCCCATGAAGGATGAGGATTGTTCGCACTCTCTTTTCCCCGAGGCGGAGAACTGGCTTCCAGGAGGCTTAGTGACTGACCGAGGTCTCGAGGTCTCTGGCTGGTGAAGCGCAGAGTCAGGGTCCCCCGGAGGCCCCTGGCTGACTCCAGATTCCACACTCCTTCCTCGGCACTTCCTTGGTTCTGCACGGTGCCTCAACGCTCCCCAAAACACCCCATTTTGCAGATGCGGAAACCCACATCCCGCAGAGGCTAGGTGTTGGCTCCTCTCAGGTCTGCGGACTTAGCTTGGGGCTGTCTGGCCTGCTCTCCTCCTGCCAAGCACCCTAGGAAAGCTCTGTGGGTACCCTCCAAGGGCTCCGGGTCTCCCAGGCACTCAGTGAGAGTGGCAAGTCCTGTCTCACTTGATCTTTGGGAGCATAAAAGGAGCTCACAGAAAACGTCATCCATGTGAAAGTGTTTTGTAGACCAAAGTGCTGCAGCGTTATCTTCAGCCTGGCTACTGGCTTCCTACAAAGTGTAAAGGGACGAAGGTAAAAGCTCTTTCTTGAATAACGTTATCCGTCAAGACAGATGAAACCACACCAGTCAGCTCTTACTGCCCCTCCCCTCCTCCCCTTCATTCCCACATATTTAAAGACATTTATAGCCTGAGAAATTATTCCCGCTGCTTCTCTGACGCCTGGAATGTGCCTTGCAATTGGCAGAGTGTCCCTCCAGAATAGCTTAATTTTTTTCCCCATTTCTTGACTAATGTCCTCTAATCCTCAGTCCTCTAATTGAGAATTGGGCTTGCAACGGCCAGGACAAGAGAGCATCTTCCCTGAAAGCTCAGAAATGATGGCTCTCCCAGCAGGGAGCTGGCCTTCCCTGCCGCCGAGAGCGCTGCCCTCTTTGCATGGAGGGATCGTTCACCACCGCGTATATTAACCTGAAATCCACCTCGCCTTGATGGATACTTTTGCCAATCTCCCATTTGGTTTGATGAATGTGAGAGAAATTTTCCCATATGGCTTACGAATTTCTCCCTCACAATATAAGTCTAATTTTTTTTCTGTTTCCGGAGCAGCTCTGCAGAATAGGGCACATCTTCAATTACCTTTATCTCTAGTAGCCAAAAGTCTTGATTGTTATATAACCGGGAAAACCACATGGCATAATGCTTATATACACGCATGCACGCACGCACATACACACACGCACACACACACACACACACACACACACTGAGCACTGTTGAGCTTTGGTGGAAAATGGCGAAATGACTGATGTTTTTCTAATTTCTGGTGATTGGCTTCTGAGCCTTACTTAGGGATCAGAGTGGAAAGCACTCTGTGCAGCCCCAGGGTAGTGTGCTCACCGAGAGGCTCACAGGAAACCTTTCCTCCAATATGAAAAAAGTGTTTGCTGAGATTCCAAGCAGGACCCAGTCTCGGGCCACAGAACACTGTCTGTTCCCCCAGACCCCTCCCAGACCACAGGAATATTTTCCCTTCAGAACCCCTTGCATCAGAATGGGAAAAACGAGGGCTGAGAATCCCAGAGGAGGCCGTGAACTGTTCGGGAAAGCGAGGGCTTTGCCGTCAGACCTGGGTCTGAACTTGGCTGTGTCTGTCCCTTTCTCCCTAAACGGCCATGGGCCAGTGGCTTTACCTGTCTGATCCCTGCTCCTTGCCTGGATAGTAAGCATCACGTCACAACGTATGTAAAGAGCCGGGTGTGGGGCTCGGCACATGGGAAGCGTCTTAATACCTGTCTGTCGAGAAAAGGGAGGGTCTCAAAGCAAGGAAACGACACAGATGCCAGGAAATACGTCTGCCCACCTCCACCTCCCTGATGGGGGAGGCTCCTGGAGGTCTGGTGAGAGGCCCCATGTGCTTCTGCCCTCCCCGCTCCGTGCTGAGCTCTGCCTTTAAGAGACTGCAGCTCGTCTCTTAAAAGCCTTTAAAAATTCTTTATTAAATTTTCATGGCGCATAAAGTCAAGGTTCTGTTACTTGGCCTCAGTTGTCTTGGCAACTTTGTAAAACGCAATAATAAAACGAAGCTGAGTGTTGCTAAACACAGGCTCATTGTAGAAACGACGGCGAAGTATTGACAGTTTGTTCTGGGTGATAATTTTTGACAGCAAATCCACTGGGGTGGACGATGCCTGTTCACTTGGGGTCAATTGTTGAGAAAAGGACACCTTTAATTTTTTTTCTCCCTTAATGCTTAATATTTGCCTGGGAAGCTAAATATTACAAGGACTGTGAGATCCTGGGAGAGGTAGAGGGAAGGGTTTAGAAAATCCTCCAACCCTTGATCTGCTGGGGACAGTCTCCCTTAGGGAGGGAGGGACCTGTCCCTGGAGTTTGGTGGAGCCTGTGGCTGCCCTGGGAGAGAGGATGGCCACTTGCAGCCCGCTGCATGCAAGAGAAGCCGCAGTGCCCGGGTCCGGTTGGACCGGTGAGTGTGGCACGTTTCACCCTCACTGGGGAATCTAGAGGCAGGTGCCTCCCCAGAGAACTAAACCATTCACCCCACACTAAAGAGGCGATTCCTAGGGCTGCTGGTCCAGCTGGTGGCTCTGTCCCTGGTAAACGACGCCCCGCCCCCTCCTGTCACCCGTCCTCTCCTTCTACCCTTGGGGAGCAGCACATGTCTGCTCTCAATATTTCAGAATATTTGGCAAGTAGAAAGCAGATGACCTTGAGTTAAAAATAAAGTGAGACCCCCAGCTCCCTGGAAATCCCCTCACCCATTGGCGCCAGAGAAACATTTATTTCACACGGCCAGGGAGGCC